CTTAGTTTCATCCCAATGCAAAACAGGAACATATTTGAAATCTCAAAAAATGTTGCTGGATGGGAGAACTATTTCTCACTCAGCTCTAGCGATGAGTAATATTTGAAGTCACTGAGGAAGCAAAATTAGATAAAGCATGAAGTAAAGTACTGTCAGAGTTAAAGAATGGATGGGATTGTTTTGGAGATACTAATTGGAAGAATGTGGCAACTAGAAACAATTCTATTACGCAATCATCTATGGAGACATTCAGATTCAGGTTGGTTGCCACTAAAAGGTATCCTGCATCTAAGGATGGCTAGTTGACAAGCAGACTGAGAATAGGCCAGAGATTAACAGTAACCTAACTACTGACCAAGAAGAAAGGAGAGAAAGAGCCACTAGAAAGAAAGAAGAGGCAAGAAATCTTAGTCAATGACTATAAACTAGTGGAAGAATCCACAGGTAGCACAAACATCTCCCAAACTCTTCTATGGCCTGTGCTATGCAGAGGTCAAGAATAGATTATCATAATGGTCCTTTTCGGCCTTAAAAATCCATGAATCCCAGTGCAAGGAAGTGGTTGAATCCTCCTTACTTAGGACATTAAACTAGACTAGACAAAATGCTGAATGGAACAATCTTACATTGGCAAGATGAAAAATTGGATAACTGAATGAGTTTTTTTCATCACTACATTATCTGAGTCCATTCAACTGTGATCCATGCCCAAGCAAGTAGCTGTGGATTAATATCCCCTTTTCCTCTGTCCTATGTTACCATCATATTAATTGTATCTGATTCTTCATCAGGTTATAACATTAACTTCTTAAAATCCCAACCCCTGGCACATGGTCTCCAACAGTAAGCAAATGCCTGTACACTTTGTACCCTCATCCCCCACATCAAATACCTCAGAAAAACATCCCCTAGCACCTATTCTGGGTCACTGCTTCAATCCAGAGACTCCAACATAATTTAGGAGATCGGCAGATATTTGAAAGCCTCCCTTCTTACCTACACCGGACAAAGTGATATGTATGAATGCTCTACCCTGACCTAATTATTGCTTTTACTCTGTCCGCTGATTTGGAGGAGGAGAGTCTCAAAGAAGTTCCAAAGCACTCTGCTCCATGGGATGGCTGGTTTGCCTAATTTTAAATTTATGTCATCTTGAGCCTTTATTTAAGGTAAGTTACCTCCTGGAGAACTTCCCCATACAACTCCTAGTGGGTAGACAGGAAGAGGAGATTGGCCAAAGTCAAGATGCTCTCTTCTCTGTTATATTTTGCATTGTAGTAATCCTAATAGCAATTATGGATCACTGTGCTAAGCACTGTACAATCACATGGAAGGAGTAGGCAGCATTTACAGATGGGATGAAGTCCTCCACTTCCTGTACAGATTACTTCACTCTTCATGTCACCAGCAAACCATGCAATTCTCTGTGCACCAGTTTTCAGTGTCTGGAAGAGTCTGGGCAGCTATTTGGGATCCTACTGTGCTATCTCCAACCTGAGCTACAGAGGGTGGATGTGCCTAGAGAAGAGGGTATTCTCAGATTCCTTTTAAGGAGTGGGCCAGTGTGTTTCCAAGTAGTCATTTTCTAGAGGTGAACTGGGTATTCACACAGGTAAGAGGGGACATGTGGTATGCAGAGAACTTTGTACTGTCAGGTATTTCCATTATCAAGGGTTTTGTTTTGAGTTTTCAAAGACATTAACTGTAATCATCTGGCATGTTTTTATTTACCTCTTTCTTTCTAATGAATCTGATCCTTGGCCTTAAACTGAAGTATAAAAGACAACAGGTGAACACTTAGACATATTGTATTGATCTGGTGAATGCAGCACTTTAAAGAGACGTCTTTTCGGCTTTGGAAAATTTATAATATGATCTGTGCAGAAAGAGCAGAAAACAGCACAACAGCTGCTGGCATAAACCATTCCAGGACAGCAGCCAAAGAGAGGAACAACAATACAGCAAGGGAAAGAGGTAGTTCTATGTCTCTTAGGTACTTATATGGCCCCCATTACTGCAGTATCCGAGCACCTCACAATCTTTTATGCATTTACCCTGACAACACTACTAAACCCATTATACAGATGAGAAAGAGAGACTAAGTGACTGCCCAAGGCCACACAGGAAGTTTGTGGCAGAGCAGGGAATTAAACTTGGGTCTCCAGCAGGTGCACTACCCCTAAGACCCTCCTTCCTCTCCATTTTGCATGTAATAATTGCAGTGCAAGAGTGGATACCCCTGTTGCACTTCACTTATTAAGTAAATGGTAGGCAAAACGGAGGGGGGGGTGAAGTGCAGCAAGGATATAAAAAGAGGTTTGAAAGACAAAAGGGAGAATGCTTAAAAGACTGCAACTGGGAGGGTGTTTTAAGTCTGAGGCACTGTAAGAGGAGACAAAGGGATTTGGCTTGTGCAGTGCCTCACGGGTGTGAATAAAGGAAGAGATGATAGCAGAATTATAAACAGGGGCAGAATTGAGAAAGGTTCTGATGCAGTAAGGAGCTTAAAATACATACGGGACTGGGTCAGTCTGCATATGCATTTGAGAGGGGTGTGATGTGACGGAATTGGCAGGAGAGGATTTGTGATTTTTACTGCCACTTTTAGGGCAGCCTACACAGGGAAATTCACTGGCATTGCTGTTCTCCAGTAGCTATTCCATGTGGACTGGAGGGGGGTGGGACTGAAGTAGAAGGCCAAAGAAAGGAGCTTACAATTGTTTATATCATATCCTTAGGCATACCCTCAGCTGGTATAAATTGTTGTAGCTTCAAAGGCCATGTTGCTTAGCGGATATACACCAACTGAGGATTTGGTTCTGTGTATTAATCCTAAAGCATACTGAGCTAAATCTGGCATGAATAAAGGGTTGGGGGGTTGCAAAGAGTCCCTGAAATAGAGGAGGTTGGGAGGCCACATCAGGAGCTTGTATGGGAATGGAAGAATGCAAGGAACATAAGAACAGCCATACTGGGTCAAACCAGTGGGCCATCTAGCCCAGGATCCTTTCTTCTGACAGTGGCCAATGACAAGAACAAGGCAATTACTGAGTGATCCATTCCTGTCATCCAGTCCCAGCACCTGGCAGTCAGAGGTTTTGGAACACCCAGAGCATGAAGTTGCATCCCTGACCATCTTGGCTAATAGCCATTGATGGACCTATCCTCCATTAACTTCTCTTTTTTTTTAATCCAGTTATGCTTTTGGCCTTCGCAACATCCCCGGCAACAACTTCCACAGTTTGACTGTGCTAGGGTGACCAGACAGCAAATGTGAAAAATCAGGATGGGGGTGGGGGGGGGGTAAGAGGAGCCTATATAAGAAAAAGACCCAAAATAGGGACTGTCCCTATAAAATCGGGACATCTAGTCACCCTAGACTATACTTGTGTGAAGAAATTTGTTTTTAAACCTGCTGCCTATTAATTTCATTGGATGACCCCTGGTTCTTGGGTGATGTGATGGGGTAAATAACACTAGGAGCCCCTGGTGTGAGCCCAGCGTTCAGCCCACAGAAGAAACAAAAAGCGTGTGACCCTCTAATAAGTTTTGCATGTCACTGTCTTTTGTTCCCCTCCGGACTTTACCCAGCTCCTCGGAGATGATGGAATAATCAAAAGCCTTCAAATTGGAGCTGGCCAAAACAAGGTGTTTCCAAAATGGTCCCATGACTCAGCAGCTGCTGAGTCAGTTTCAGTGCTGCTATTCAGTGGTTGGCAGGAGATGAATCTTCTCAGTTTGTGTCATTTTCACTCAGCAGCTGACAAAGCTTATAGGGTCTGCAGCTCTGGGGCAGCCGGGGTTTCTCGACTGCTCAGGCCAGGGACCCCTGCTGGCTCCCTAGACTTCCTGACTCTTGGGGCAACTGGCTCACCAGGTTACAGAAGTTGGGCAGCCCGGGAGCCACCTGACTTGGGACCCTGGAAGCCCCTAGAGGCCTGGCGCAAACCTGGGTTCTCAGGGCTTCCAGGTTCTCTGGCATGGAGTCAGGAGCTGAGCCCAGGGCTTCCAAACACCTTGTATGCAAAACCATGTGGGTGGGGAGGGAGAAGAGGATTTGAAGAGAGATTTGAAAGGCAAAGTGGAGGATTGTTGGAAGACTGCAACTGGGAGGGTGCTAAGTTTGTGGCAGTGTCAGAGGAGATAAAGGGAGTAGGCTTGCGTAGTGCCTTGGGAGTGGGAATAGAGATGAAAGCAGAATCACAAGGAGGGGCAGAGCTCAAACGCTGTTTTGTCGGAACATTTCCAAGATCTGCTTGAGACAGAATTTATTCCCTCACGAAGCTAGAGCCTGCATTTCTCGCACACACAAAATTCTCCAGGGACGATAATGGGAGTTGGGGGGGATGCATAGAATGCACTATCAGGCTAAGTGTAAGACATTAATTGGAATTTTTAATCTAAGAAAAAACGACATTGCAGAAAGCAGAAAAAATAACTGGTGAACTAAAAAGGGGCATCTGCTGATGAGGAGACATCAAGAAAACAGAGCTTTACACTAATGCTTGGCTACATGAGCACTTAGGTTGCAGCAAGCTGGGGTGTAAATCTACCCTGCAGTAGCCTGCCATGCTGTAAGTGTCCATGTAGACCTTGCTGCCATGCCTGGGGTGACCAGGTGTCCCGATTTTATAGGGACAGTACCGATTTTGGGTCTTTTTCTAATATAGGCTCCTTTTACCCTCCACCCCCTGTCCCAATTTTTCACATTTGCTGTCTGGTCACCCTAGCCATGCCCTAAATGTTCTGTTGTGCATTTTGATCTACCCTGCTTTGAAACAGGAGTAGATTAAAGGGCACATTTAAGGACATGCTACCTTTACTTTGCAGGACATAAAGGAATGAATGCATAGAAATTCATGCTAGATTGAGTGCTATATTGGTCGCTGGGAAAATACTGTTGTATTATACACTTTTTACAAGATGAATAAATCTAAATCAATTAGTATCCAAATAAAATGCTTTACCTGAACTTCACATGTATATTTAATTTACTTTAGATGATTGGAATTTGGATTGCTGCATTTTATCTGCTGGACCCAACAGCAGGTGAGATACCATATTTATAAATAACTACACCAAACATGGTGAATTTAGTCATGTTCAAATGAAATAAAAAATGAATGTAGGTACAACGGAAATTCATTTTCCTCTGCACTCAGTTTATTCTATATGACTTATGATGCAGTTCACTTGGTGCCGAGAACTAGCAAAAGCCCTGTGAACCACTTAAGTTCTATTATAAGAGCTCACGCGATGCATAGACCCCCTTGTTCACCTTTAGACCCTGATTCTGCAAAGTCCTATGGACATACTTATTTTACACGTGTGCACCGTTTCCCAGGAACAGCGCAGTAGGAGTGCTCAGTGTCATGAACAGTGTTTGCGATGAACAGAAAAGTCAAAGGAAATAATAAGTGCTCAGGATTCAAAGATTGCAATCCCTTGATATTGTATCAATTTTATAAATGTTGCATGTATCTTCATGGGATGGCTAGGTGGGGTGGTTCAACAGGTGAGCTAAAAGGTGCATCCTGCAGGAGCTGAACTCAGTAGGGAGCAATTAATGCAATTCCCAATGCTGAAAAATTGCAGGTAACCAGACTTTTGAAGTTTGGGCCCTGGGGAAATAGCATATGCTAGTTCAACCTGGTCCAAGAAGCCTCATACAAAATGACTTGAAACTGTATCAAGTGACAGCCCTGATCAGAGGGGAGGGTCACTCACAGTCAGTCCAAGAACTGACATGAGACTGCGAGCATGAGAGACAGGTGCTATGAAAGTGCCCGAAGTACTTCAGTCCTATCAGGGTCTCTGTGTGGAAGATGGGTGACAGCTGGTAAGCGAGGCATGCATAGAAGCTGTTTGTTTTTATGTTTTCTCTTAAATGCTTTTGCTCTGAATAAATAGTAATGTGCTCCATGAGAGCTGACTGCTCACCCTGGCATTGCACCTGAGAGACCAGGTGCTGATGGGAAGGCCGTTCTGCTGAGGTGATCACAGAGAGCTGCAGGAGTCTGCAGGCTACTTTCCTGGTCCAGAGGGAGCAGATCACAGGATCCCAGTCCAAGAAAGGTGACGGCTAGAGCCTGAGACCTAAGTGGGGTGCCCTCACGAAGACCAGGGAGGGTCAGGGATGCAGTTAACCTGGGAACTGTGACATACACACTTGTTCTTTTGAGTCAGGAGCTGGCAGTAGTAACACCAGCACACAGTTTTTAAAGTCTCTTCTTTTACTTTTGTATGAGGATTCTACAACCCTAAGGGAAAAAAGCTGCCACAAAAGTATCCTGGTCTTTCATTGTGTTTGATGAGTCACTAAGATCTATACTCTATTATCTGCATTAGCTAATACCGACAGAAAGAATTTGGACTTCAAAATGAATCATAAAACCAAAGCCCAGTGTCTGCTTCTTTCAAAGTTGTTGCAGCTTCCAATGCACCATCTAACTGTAATGGATTACAAAATACTAATGATTTGCTTTGTATGCTACAGGCGAAAAAGTTTGCTATCAACGACTTGGCTGCTTTTCAGATAAACCGCCATGGGCTGGAATACCAGGGAGATTTCTGGGAGGTTTACCCGACTCTCCAGAGAGTATGGACATCAGCTTCACCCTTTACACTAAAGAAACTAGAAATAACTCTCAAGTGAGAACCTACCTCTATTTTAATATTAAAAATTAATTACACCTGCCAATGTTCACTAGCTCCGTAGGAAGAGCGCGTCACTCACCATGAGAAACTGAGTCAGGGAATAAAGAGTCAGCTTGTTGTTAGATGCAGTAACTAACAGAGGTTAAAGTCACTGGGGTAAAAACTGAAATATTTTCATGCACAAACTGAAAAATGAACCAAACAAATGAAACCTTTTTCTGGCACTTTTCCTGTGCAAGGAACTAGGAATGCTGCAGACTACTACTGTTTGTAACACATTTAATTCTCTGAGGAAAACTGGGAGACACGTTTTAATAGTCAGTAGCATTTATGCAGTGCTCTAGGTGCTTAATCACCCCTGACAGATAGGAGAGCTAACATCACCATTTTACTGATGGGGAAACTGAGGCAGGGATGATATGATTTGCCAAAAACCACATAGAAAGTCTAGAGCAGAACCAGGATTAGGCTCCTCCCCCCCATGCTGCCTTTTAAAGCCAACATAATTTTAAACTCAAATATGCAGCCAGTAAGGGAAGATGAGTGAAGAAGTGGAATTGAGGGGAAAAGAATGGCTTGGGGAAATTGCAAGGGGAAAATACCTGTAGCCACTGCAGCCAAGTTCAGCTTCAAATAAAGATTCTTCCTCTGTGGTGGCCTATGTGAAGTCTGTGGTCTCAGTCCATTTCCCCAGAACATAGCTGCCTTCATCATACAAACCACCACCCTAATGGGTGCCCTTGTTGGCAATTTCAGCAGAAGCCAAAATCTGAACGGGCATGGAGCATGAACGGCCATCTCATCCTGCAGGTCAGGGGGAGGCAGTGGAGCAGCGTGAGGAAGCCAGCGCTTCTGCTGCTACCCCAGAGACACTGTAGTACTAGTGCCATCCCACTGAGCCAGAGCTATATCACTTTGGGGGTGGAAGTGAGACGTGCCCAGGGGGTCACCTTTTCAAAATACACTTCAGTGACTTAGAAAAATGACTTAGGCACTTAGGAGCCTAAGTCCCATTGACTTTCAGTGAGACTTAGGAGCCTAAGACTCTTCTAAAAATGGGACTTAGGAACTTCTGAACATTTTGCCTTTTGTGTTATGCATGAACATAAAAAGTGCAACCTTCACAAGCTGTGACGGTGTAAATGTGACAGCCACCCATCTTGGCCAACACAACAGGGACCCAACTGGGCACCTCAAAAGGTAAAGACAGGAGCTATTAAAGCTCCCTAGCCAGGGCTACGAGAGGGCACATGAGGACATGTAACATACCCTCACCAGTGGGTTACACAAAACATTACTGCTATCCAGTACATTAAATCAGGTAGCATGTACCTTGTATTATTGCCCAGCAGCTCAACCTGCATTGAATACAAATGACTCAAACTAAGCTTGTAGGGGCATTGTCCTGGAATGCTTCAGAGTCCCACTCTCTCCACACACCCAGAACATAGACCTAACATTAGTTTAAAAAGCCAAACTGAGGGTTAGAGATCATTTTGGCAGCAGAAGAAAGGGCCATACTAAATTAATGTACAACAGGCCTCCACTACTGTACCTAGCACGGAGCTGTACCAGCATATTTGGAGAGGAGAGCGACCTCAATGATTCCATCGCCTGTGACTTCCCAAAGCCACTCTTCACTTGCCCTGCAGAATTGGGGAGTCAGGAGATAGGTCAGTAAGGGGGCAAGCAGGAGCTGGGAGGAGGATACTCAGTGGGGTACTGCTCACTGTGATTATCTTATACTGGTTGGCTCTGTATAAAGAGCTCTTTGTACACAGAGAGGAGTAGTGTGGAGCACCAGGGACAGTACAGGAACTATGCTGTGACTGAGGTTAGAGAGGCAGGGAGCTGTGGGGAGCCAATGAGACCCAGGGGTTTCCAGGAGTGAAGATAGCATCCTATATAAGCGACGATCTGGACCATATTTTGTTTTTATTTCCTAGCTAAGAAGAGTTGGAAGATGACAAAACAGAGGATGATATTTATTACTGTTGTTTTTGCTCAAAACAGGTGATCTCTGCAATACATCCCTCAACTATCAAAGACTCACATTTCTGCTCACATAGGAAAACTCGCTTCATTGTTCATGGATTCATGAGCACCGGAAAACGTGGCTGGGTGGTAAAGATGTGCTTGGTATGAGAGAATATCCTATAATTTCCAACTTTAACTGCAGCCACATTCAATCGCTGTTTCTTAAACGCTAATATTAAGCTTGCATTTTGACAACCACTTGATGTTACTAATGGGCAAGGGGTGCTAAACCATATGTAACAACTTTAATAATCACCTCGCCCTTTTCACGAACGTGGGTGTGGGAGTGAATTGGACTGTACATTCCATATGGCTTTCACAGGAAATGAGAATGCAGGGCTGGGTTTAAGGATGTGCATATGTTTTTGTAGTAGTCCAGCTTTGGAAGAAAAACCTATACTTCTTGTGGCGTCCACTCCTTCCTGGGTGGTTGGGGGAGGTAACAATACTAATACCTAGCTCTTATATAGTTCCTTTTATCCATCGATGTCAAAGTGTTTTACAAAGGCAGCCAGTGTCATTATCCCCATTTAACAGTTGGGGAAAACGAGGCACACAGATGTAAAATGACTTACCCATAGTCACCCAGCAGACTGGTGGCAGAGCCTGGAATAGAACCCTAGTCATCTGAATTCCTGGGCAGTGTGCTATCAACTCAGCTATGCCACCTCTCAGCTGGAGGGGACTATCCCTCTGACATCACCACTCACAAGCCAGCCCGAAAATTTAGCCCCAGTCTTGCAGAATTATTATGGCTCCTTATGTCCATCAGTCTAACGGAGTAAATTCTACTTTGGACAAATGAATGGAAAGCAATGATATATGCACATATATACAGAGAAAAAGAAATTTCTTCCCAAAGTAGGACTTCTACACAGCAAAATAAAAAGAGGAAAGTCTGGGCCTCAACAAACAGCAATCTGCAAAAGCAGAGAGAGCCTATGGCACAAGGCTCCAGGGGAAATCAGTTTATACTCAGGATCAAGCTAACTGTTGTGTAACCGGGAAGTAGATAATACCTTAGGCCCTGACATTATGAAGGCCTGCACACCTGCTTAACTTTACACACTGCGAGTAATGGGCCCACTCAGAGAGAGTAAAATGAAGCATATGTGTAAGTCTTTGTAGTATTGGCATCTTAGCAAATTGGCCTGAGAAGTTGGATTTTTATTCTAATTGAGATGGTGTTTAATTTTATTTTGATCTCATGCCAAGCCTACAATGTTCCAAACTTTCTGATATTGAAACTTAGGCAGTGTCTACACTACAGACCTTACAGCAGCACAGCTGCGCCACTATAAGGACTCCCATGTAGCCGCTCTGTGCTGACAGGAGAGAGCTCTTTCCAGTCGACATAGCACGGTCCACACCAGCGCTTTTGTGGTTGAAACTTATGTCAATCACGGGTGTTTTTTTTCACACCCCTGACCGACAAAAATTTTATCCACACAAGTGATAGTGTAGACATAGCCTTAATAACTTTTTTGCTCCTTGCGGTTTGGTTAACTGTGCTGAAGCTAGCAGATGGTCTTGTTACTTTCTACACCCTATGCAGAAGAGAGGACAAACTTTAAAACTAGAGAGAGAGAGAGAGACAGAGTATACAGACACACACATTTCTTGAACTCAACAATGCTTGTTTGCAAAACTGAAAATTTAAATTTAAAAGTTAAAAAAAAATTTTATCCAAAAGTTAGTTTGCTTTTGAGTAGATCCTTCTGAAAGAATAAAGCATGTGAAGGCTAGAATCTACAGTAATACCAATATGCTGGCCTGATTTAGTACACAATTCATACCCAGAACTCTCAGTTAAGGCAAGTCAAAAATTTACCATCAAAACTATTTTTCAATGGAAAATTGGACTTTTGACAAAATGACTGTGAAAAATATCAGTTTTCTAAGGGATATTTTGAGTTTTCAGAAAATAGAACTTTTCTGAATTAAAATGGTCAGTTTTTCAGTGTAAATTTGAAATTTTCTAGAGGAAAATATTTTCCAAAGAGCTCTACTTGCAATTACTGGAATCATCTTAGACATTTCAGAAAAATAAACAACCCACAACCAAAAATATCTTGAAAAGTCAATACACAGCAGAGAAGTGAAACTAAATATTTCAATGTCCTCTCAGTGGAGGCTGTTTTATACTGTCTCTTGATGCAAAATACTAACCTTAAAATGGAAAAAATAAGAGATCGCCATACAGTGTCTCTCGCTGTCTCATGTTATACCGGATAATATGACCCAAATTTACCTTCATCCATTGAATACAAAAAAGGCCAGGCTACAATGTGGTCCATGTACCTGCTCAGGGGAATGAGAGCGGTAAGAATCCCACAAACCCCTGCATCTCCTCCCCAAACCTTGGGTCTAGGCATAAAGTGGCAAACCGACACTCTATGTGCTTCCACCCCCAACCCACCCCAGAGCAGGAAGTTGAGCCTTCGCTCCTCTAAGCAGAGCAGCTGAACTGTTTGTAGTAATCCACCAGCATCTAATTACTAGTCCTGTGGCACAAAATAGGAAGCAGGGAAGGAATCCTCTCTCTAAGGCATGATTCCTTCTCTGCACTGTTCATGGGTCAGCACAGACATACTGCCTTGCAAAGAGGACAGACTATAGAAGCACAGCGCAAACCTTCATGTTTGCATTCTTATTATAGTAAATGCTGAGTTATGATGGGAAATTAGAGAGTAATATCCCTGACGTTTGAAAGCCTCCAGTGTGAAAGTCACCAGGCTTTTAACTTTACGAGCTGCTGTAGAAGCCTCCCACTCAGATCTAAGCCCCTCACTGTCAGTTGCCTATTTCAGAATTGAAGAGAGAGCTTTAAAAATTAATAGTTTCATTAAACTGTTTACAGAAGAGACAAAACAAAACAGCCAGAAATTGTATACTGCAATAAATCAGTTTATAATTCTGATCTGAAATAAGTGTTTATGGTGACAAAAATTGAAAAAATATTTTGAGTGTGCTCTTTTAAAGTTCAGGCATCTGTTTGTATGAATGTCAAAGTTTTCATCACATTGTGCTTCATGAGAAGACCCAGGTTAATGTGTGTAAGAGCTGCAGTAAAATGTTGTCCTTTGTAAACAACAAGCAACCCAAATGCTCAATTTACTAAATGATTCATTTAGGTTTAAGTTGAATCGGTATTTTACTGTATGCTTTCATACATTCTTTGTTTTCTGTTTACACACTAGCTGCTAGTGGAAGTGGAAGATGTGAACTGCATTGCCGTGGACTGGGCAGAAGGTGCAAAAGGCATATACATCAGTGCAGTGAACAACATCCGTGTTGTTGGGGCGGAGATTGCTTATTTCATAAATACTCTTATGGTAAAAAAAATATTGTGAATTTTAAGTTACTTTTTAAAGCTAAGAGTCACTTGAGCATAATGGGTTTATGTAACTGGTGTCTTTGTGCTCTGATCCTGTTTTCTTGTGGTCAGAAAAGTATGATTCAAAAAGTTAATGTTTGGGAAGTGAAGAACACAGCAGATAGTTGAGAACCATCAAAATGGGGATACCTCACACAGCCACACATGGTACTAAGATATGTCCTAAAGATAGTACATTAATATAATAGAAGTGACAAAATAACTTAAAAGACCAGCAGGTGGCAACATTTCTTTGTATCAGGGGGTAGCCATGTTAATCTGTATCCACAAAAACAAGCATCCGATGAAGTGAGCTGTAGCTCACGAAAGCTTATGCTCAAATAAATTGGTTAGTCTCTAAGGTGCCACAAGTACTCCTTTTCTAAAAACAAGAAGGAGTCCGGTAGCACCTTAAAGACTAACAGATTTATTTGCACCAGACTCCTTGTAATATTTCTTTGCTTTCTCAACTGTATTTGTATATTCACTGTATAAGGGTGGATTTGACCCAAGGAGTTGCAACTTTTGTGACACTGAAAGTGACAGTGACTCGTTGCCTGGAGTCCACAACCTAACTTGTTTCAGAGTAGCAGCCATGTTAGTCTGTATTCGCAAAAAGAAAAGGAGTACTAGTGGCACCTGAGAGACTAACCAATTTATTTGAGCGTAAGCTTTCGTGAGCTTCAGCTCACTTCCACTGAATGCATCCGATGAAGTGAGCTGTAGCTCACGAAAGCTTACGCTCAAATAAATTGGTTAGCCTCTAAGGAACCTAACTTGCTTATGCATGTACCAGAATAAGTGCATCCAGCCATATTTGCTTGTCTTCCTTGATAGAGGAACAGAAAAAACTTTGGCTACAGCTTTTACCTTTAAATGAAAGAATCCCAGGCTTTCAATTTACAGTGTTACTCACTTTCCTTATAACTTTTGCCAATGCTTTTAGTAGGTACCCAGTCAGGCCGGGCGCTGCAGCTGTGCTGCCCCAGAAGCTCACAGCCCTGCCGCCCAGAGCATTGCGCCGGCGGCGGAGCGAGTGAGCTGAGGCTGCGGGGCAGGGGGGACAGCAGGGGAGGGGCTGGGGGCTAGCCTCCAGGTCCAGGAGCTCGGGGGCTGGGCAGGACGGTCTCGCGGGCCAGATGTGGCCCGCAGGCCGTAGTTTGCCCACCTCTGGGCTAGAACATGAAGCTAGACAAATTCATACTAGAAGTAAGGTGCCCACTTTTAGCAGCGAAGGTAATTAACCACTGGACCAACTAACCAAAGGTTGTGATGAATTCTCCATCACTGGAAATCTTTAAATCAAGATGGGATTTATTCTAAAATGTTCTAGTTCAAACAAGAATTAATACAGGGAAGTCCTATGGCCAGTGTTACGCAGGAGGTCAGACTACATTATCACAATGGTCCCTTTTGGCTGTAAAAATCTATGAAAATAAGGCATCTTCTGTGTTTGACATTTAAATACATATGTTCCATTTTCTTTTTTTCAAAAACTCATCAGAAAATGTTTCGATACTGCCCTTCTCATATCCATATCATCGGCCACAGTCTGGGTGCACATGTTGCAGGAGATGCGGGAAGAAGAATACGAGGCATCAAAAGAATAACCGGTAGGCTAGGCACTAAGATGGAACATTACAGGGTATGTTCTTTAAGAGGAAAGAAGTTTGCAAAGCTGGACCTACTGAGCCAAACAGGCGTAAGTGGATGTAACTTCACCAACTTCAATGAGTTGTTGTGCTTGCTTATGCCACAGCGGAATTTAGCCCGTTCTGTGTATTGTTCCTATAGACGTCACTATGCATTCTTTACGGTGTTAACATGAGTAAGCAAAATATTTAAATAAAAAAAACTAGTCCATCTGCACACTGGTAGATATTCAACATTTATCGTTGTGTTTGTTAACTGAAAATGCAATGTTATCTGTATTGGTTTAGTAATAGTATTAAAATAGCAACAATAAGGATTCTTATGCAGATCTGTATTTTTAGTATTCTCAAGCAAATGATGACCTGAGATACGACTGGCAAGTTTCTCTCCACACACACTTTTCCATGCCTTACAATCCATTTGCAAAGTAAAACTTAAGTTTCTGCTTAACGTACTTTCAGTGGAAGTGGGAATTGGGATGGGACTTATTAACAAGGCAGATACACTCTGCCTCCAAGAAGAAAAGGAGTACTTGTGGCATCTTAGAGACTAACCAATTTATTTGAGCATAAGCTTTCGTGAGCTACAGCTCACTTCATCGGAGTCTCATCCAAGGAGTCTCCCAATGGCCACTGTTGAGACATATGTCTTGCTCTGAATGGGTTTAAGAGGTGGGGCGGGAACACAGGCTACAATCCCACTAAATGACCTTTTCCCAGGCCTTTGAGAGGAAATAACCACACAAGTCCCCTGAAGACTTTTCTGTGCTTTCTCTTGGTTTTCCCCACCCCTACATGCACCTGCACAGCAGCAGAGTGCGACAGCAATTCCTGCACTCCCATGAGGACAAGCACTGCTCCAGCAGAGTATAGGAAGGGGGTAGTCACAGCCTCACCTCTCTCCGACACCAAACTAGCTCTGCCTAAGGCAGGAAGAGCCTGTGGCACAGATCCGGTGTTCTCTTACAGCAAGGGGCTCCTGCTAGAGTGGAGCACCATTCCACCACATGCTCTTGTTTTAAACCACGATGGAGGTCTAAGCATTGGGAGGAGGTGGTTCTCCCTGGACAGCTGTTGGACCCTGCTAAGGATTTTTGGGCACAACCAGGCAAGTCAGACAGGCTATAACTGCATTCCTGTGTTGTATTTTGGTTTTTTTGCCACACTTGCCCAGATTCATTTGTAGTAGTTACTGCTGCTAGTGACAGGAGATTGGTGATTAAGGCACTGGACTAGGATGGATCAGTTCCTGGCTCTATGAAAGGCTTCTTGTGTGCCCTTGAGCAAGTCACAAGCTCTGTGCTTCAGTCCTTCATCTGTAAAAGGGGGATAATGATGATAATGCTTCTTTTCTCTAATTAGATTGCAAGCTCCTTTGTGCAAGGACGATCTCTCACTTTGCGTTTGTAATGCGCCTATTACAGTTGGGCCCAATGGGTGCTACTAAAATACAAATAAATAACTGATCAAAAACTCTTTAGTCCTTCCATTCCACACCAGCAGAAAATGTAGGAAACTGGATCACTGTGTTAAAATCCCTCCTTATCCTTGGCAATATGACACCATTATACACTAACTGATAGCACTTTGCTTCTGCTGGGATGAGTTTGCAGAAAGGCTGCCTTCTAGAAATTGAGACTCACTTCTAGATCACTTGGGAAAAACAGTAGACAACCAAGAGAAACGAAACTTCATTCTCCTTGCAGTGACTACATTTTATGAAGTATTCTGACTTTTGTAAGTGTTTTGACACTGTACAAATGTTTATTACATTAAAATGTTCAGTGCACTGGCCTGGGGTTCTAACCCATGTTTACATTACTCCTCACCATGCATTATATACTTCATTTGAAACTGATGCTCTGCATACGTACAATTTTTTTCCAATCAAACAGTGAATAATTTGTTTCTCTTTAGGCTTGGACCCCGCTGGGCCCCTTTTTGAAGGCACTCCGCCAAAAGTCAGATTGGACCCTACGGATGCAAGATTTGTTGACGTTATTCATAGTAATGCTGCTCAATTTCCTACTGTAGGTAAGGTCCCACATACAAGCAAACATTTGCAGCAACAGTCATGACACTGAATTATCTGAGGCACTCACCATGTCATTCATGTATGTATTTCAGGAGCTGGAATAGTTAATACCTCTGGCCACCTTGACTTTTACCCAAATGGAGGAAGTATTATGCCTGGATGCGATGATGTAATTATTCCATCTAAAAAAGGTAAATCTTCGCTGAAGATAAATCTACTTCAAACATCTGCAGCATTAACTCACAGTGTCTGTTCATATTATAGTTCTGACCATGGCAAATGGAGCTTTTTTGAGGGTTTTATTTTAAAAATAATGTTTTTGCATATTTGATGATGGGTGGGGAAAAAAAAGGATGAAACAATGAGGGCCAGATGACAGCCATGATGGCCTGAAGGTAGCGTAAGGGGAGAAATGGGCATACAGAAGATGTGGGATCAGCCTTAATTTCCATAATTTGACTGCAGATTTGGGGCAGAGCTCAGTTAGTGCTTCAGTTGTAATGGGAAGTGTCTGGCCAGGGTGAGGACAAGCTCATGACTATACCTATGGTGGGGCAGCGGTAGCTCCCACTTTGGAACAGAGGCTGCAAGTGACACCTCTCACCACGCTGCATCCAGCGCCCACAAGGCATTGAGCAAAGGCACAGAGCCTGAGTGCATCTCCCCTCCTTCTAGCAACTTGAGCCAAAGAGTGGGCTGAACGTCTCCAAGGAGAAGGGGGAAAGAATCCCCTTTCCACATGGCTTGGAATGGTGGGCACAAAGCTTGTGTATCCCTTATACTCTATTCAGTTTATCTGAATTGCATCTTTACGGCAGGGGTTCTCAAATTTCATTGCATCGCGACCCCCTTTTGACAATAAAAATTACTACATGACCCCAGGAGGGGGACTGAAGCCTGAGCCAGCCCGAGCCCCAGGTGGCAGGGGACAAAGCCGAAGCCCTAGGTCTTAGTCCCAGGCAGGGGTCTGTAATCTGAGTCCTGACGCCCAGGGCTAAAGCCGTCGGACTTCGGCCCCGGGCGGTGATGCTTCAGCTTCGGCCCCAGGAAGTCTAAGCCAGCCCTGCCTACCCCATTAACATGGGGTTGCGACCCAGTTTTGGGTCCCAACCCACAGTTTGAGAACTGCTGCTTTATGGCATGCTGCAACACAAAAAACAATACTGCGTTGCGTAGCTGTCTTCTAAGATGGATCAATATCCACAAGAGATCTTAGGCAGGGGTGAACCCAGTTTTCCACCTATGAGAAGTCAGTGCATGGGTCAATTGAAGCAGCAAGCTTCTCGTATGCTATTGACAACCAGAAACCCATAAGATTCTCCTTAAGAAATGCTACAGGACCATGCTATCCTTCCAGCCAGCATTTTTATTATTGTTATAAAGGAGAAAAAACCACCCTTGCTCTACATGGCCAAATGTAATAGAAGATGGTTTCACAGACACTCAGAATTTTGTTTCAACAGAGGCCCATTACCTTTTATGCCATCATTCACGCAGCCATCAGTTTTATTTTCAAAGTATCCTCCATCCCAATGGATTTCTCGGATATCCCTGCAGGACATACGCGTTCTTCCAGTCGGTAAGCAGAACAGCCCAAGAATGGGTGAGCTGCAAAAATTAACAACTCTACTTTCATGTGCACACATCACACACAGAGTCAGGTGCTAGGGAGTCTCTGCTCTCCCAGTGCCTGACTGGGATCAGGACTTGGGGAGAACAAAGCTCCAACAGCAATAAAGCAATGCCAGCTGGTGGAGAGCAGGCATGTGGCAGGACAGATATAGATAGAGATACAGATACAGATATAGATGTACCAATGGTGGAATCCTGGGTATCCGATGATTCCACTGGTAGAGGTGAAACCGCCAGTGTCTCCTATGCTACACTTTCCAGTGGGGGGTTACGGCTCGCATAAGTTTTGTGCAAATCTCAGGTTGAAAAAAAGGCAGTGTTTGAAATGGAAGAGTTCAGACCATCACCACCTGGAAGTTAAGTGCACCCTTCATTGTTATGGGTAAAGAGTTAGTTTGTTTCATCCTCAGATGGTAAAGCATAAATAATCAGAAAATAAACTGATATCAGAAACAGGACACTGAAACGCAGTGGGGTTCAGTAGCGTGGTAAGAGAATGGTCAAGGCTTTGGCAGCCTCAGGGCCACCTCTTCAGCCTTAGTCTTGCAAGAGTAGGATGAAAAGAAAAATATTCCACATTACCCAGATGCTCTTATTTTACCCTAGGGAATCTGCTTCCCATGTCCCAGAGAAGGCTGCCCAATGATGGGTCACTATGCTGATCAATATCCAGCTAAACTGGAGAAAATAAACCAAAAATATTTTTTAAACACAGGAGCACACCCACCCTTTACTAGTAAGTGTAGAAGGGTAATTATTTAGCCAAATGGATGGGGAGGGGGGAGAAGAAGTGGGGGTTTGAAATGAGATGATCTAAAGCTGTAATTCTCTTTGCTGTTATAAACCTTTGATAAGCTGAATGGTGGTGGTTTTCCATGTCTCTCTAGTATCATAGAATTATAGAATATCAGAGTTGGAAGGGACCTCTGACAACCAAGGAAAAACACTAAACTGTTTACCAAAGTCCATTCTTGCTGAGACTCTTGAGCTGCCTGTTCTTCAAATGAGAACAGTAAAAGTACACTTAAAAAGAGAACTGTCACTGTTTGCAGTCTGTAAGGAACCTAAACAATGCCAGCAATCTACTTTTATTTGGCTTTTGTTATGTAGGTTGGAGCCACAAAATATCTATCAAGCTGTCTGGCACGAAGAAAGTGAGGGGGGAACTAAACATAGTTTTCCATGGCACAGACAGGTTCACAAAGCAGTACCAAATTATCTGGTAAGTTCAATGGCACAAGACTAGGCTTTGTAGTGTGTCTATATTTCATTCACACCTCTGTTTGCAAGTAGGATGAAAAGATAGCAAGAAAAATGGGGACGGGGATGGGGGGTAATAGGTGCTTATATAAGAAAAAGCTCCCAAAATCGGGACTGTCCTTATAAAATGGGGACATCTGGTCACCCTACCGGTGCCCCCGGCAACTGCCCTGCTTACTACCCTCTAACAGCGGCCCCGGCTTTTATATGCAGAAAACCAGTTGTGGCACAGCTGGGCTGTGAAGTTTTTAGAACATGGGAGGGGGCTCAGAAAGAAAATGGTTGAGAACCCCTGCCCCTGACCATATCAGATAGTGTCCTCTCCTCTCCTATTTGCAGTGGACTCCTTCATCAAGGTAACATTTATACAAAGTACGTCGATGTTGAAATTAACCCTAGAAATATTACGAAGATTGAATTTCTCTGGAATAAGAATATATTTACTCTGCTTTGGGCCCAACTGGGAGCAGAAATGGTCCACGTAATCAATGAAGAAGATGGACATGTGTAAGTACGCTTGTCTTACACTACATTTTATTCATTTATAAAAAGAGCCAAATTTGACATGACAGTTTGCTCCTAAAGGGTGATATCCTCCCCTACGCAAAGAACTAGCATACAAGGGCAAGGCCCACTTCAGTCCCATTTAAACCCTCCAAACAGAGCTTAAATGGGAGTTCAAGGGTGCCCAGGCATTAGGCTGGCTTTCTGCATGGAGATAGATTTCATCCAAAAAGCAATTTTAACTCCATGCAGTGAAGTACAGCAGCTCTGGAGACTCTGTGTGGGGTTGATTGATTTCAGTCATTCGTCATTGCTGTGTATTCAAGTTGATCAGGGGGAGTGATGATTCTGTTTGATCTAGCGTATTTCTAGACTGGGAGGGTGCAGACTTTGTAGCTTTTGTAAACTGAGCTGATTGCACACACCAGGGGCTTCTTGCATCCCTCCATTCTCCCCCACAAGCTCCGATCCCCCTCCATTTCATTTACTCAGTGCAGCTCCTCCCTACCACTTGCCCCATGCCAGGGGCTGGGTAGCTCACATTCCCCTCTCTGCCACATACCAGTGTCTCTTTGCATCCCCGCTCATTTCCCCGCATTCCAGGGTCTCTGTGCACCCCCCATCCCTGGGTCCTGCATCTCCTCCCTCCATGCCAGGATCTCTGTGCACCCCCTTTCTCCTCCCACCCCAAGCCCTCCCTGTAAGGCTCTCTTATTTCTTTTGGAGCCCAGGCTAGATGAAGTGAGCTGTAGCTCAAGAAAGCTTATGCTCAAATAAATTGGTTAGTCTCTAAGGTGCCACAAGTACTCCTGTTCTTTTTGTAAGTTAAGCTGTTGCCTCTGATATATCCAGGCAGCAGCAGCAGAGGGTGTCAGTGAGATTCTTCTGCATGAAGCACCAGGCAGTCTTGGAGCCCTGATTTTCCATTGAATCAGGCTTTTCTGGTGCTCGTATTTGCAGCAAAATCAACAGAGTTGTGCCTACTGATGCCTGGAACACTCCCTGAATTTTTGGACTTTGTCAGACATGGGGTTTCAGTGAGATCATGTTACAGGCAGACAGGAAAATGCCAGAGAGCTGAGTGTTAGATTTCACCTGGCTTGGCCAAAAAAATGGATAAGGGCACCCAGAGCATTAAAGGATACTCCTTTATTACACTCTGTATAAATACTTGTTAAATAATTTTTATTTTATTTTTAAAAAGAACCCTGAGGTTACCATTTCTATGACATGACTTTCCACAAGTACCACCCTACAGGCAGCATTTCAAGTGTCCGTCAGCCAGTTAGTGCAGATCACGCCCAAAGGTGTCATTTTCTCGGAAGGTATTTCCAGGAGTCACATCAGGGAAACAAACTTGTACCATGTTTTTTGTTCAAAGAAATAGGTCAGGACATCAACATAGACTTATTCGTGGGTATACACAGGCTCTCCCGTGTTTGGAAGTACTCAGATAAATCCATTTCTAACAAAATCATCATACAATCTGGCTCTGAATATGCAAAGCCTGTGTTCAACAAAAGTGAAGATAGCACTGCACACTGATGGAAATATATAGTGTTCCATCAGTTCTTGTCACCCCTTTATACTAGTTGGCTGAATTATTGTTATGTAAGTGGAGTACTCCCTCCTCCCAGAAGAGTAGGATCTTGGCTGGCAGCATCAGATGAGCCAATAAATGTAATCAATGTTCCTACGCACCTTTGGAAAAAACATTTGTAGTGAAATATTGACTCAAGTTGTTTTTTTCCCCCCAGGTCTACATATTGTGGCAATGGAAATGTGAAATATGGAATTCCACAATTACTTACACCTTGCTAAATTAAATCCCTTCAACTATAGCTGCTGTGTTATCTGTCCTCTCTCTGAGGTTGTTTTCACACACAGCTATTGATAGAAAATAATTCTTAAATAGGTGGTTTTCTTTGTTTTCTCAACTATGTGCAAACACATTAATGGGATTTTCAAGCAAGAAGTCATTGTTTTAAGTTTATCCTAGTCCATCTCCCTTGTAAGAGACAGGAGCCACGGGACTACATATGTAGGTGCACTGATAAACATTGTAATATTGACACAATCTTTTCAAACAGAATCTCACAGACAAATACAAATGTTTTCTACTGTGTTGCGTTTGCAAGATTCTCTCTCTTTAATGTGTTTAGATGGCAAAAAATCTCAAAATAGCCCTAAACATATGCTGGGAGTACATGCAGAAAACCCCTATGCAGTTTACCTTGCTGTTTGAATGCATTAAAATACATCATTACACTTAACATACAAAATATGTATAAGGTAAGAATAGACACACACAAAAACAAGTCACCATTTCAGTGAAAGTCAGAACTACGCATTATACACTGCAATCTCACAGGTTTCAGAGTAGCAGCCGTGTTAGTCTGTATTCACAAAAAGAAAAGGAGTACTAGTGGCACCTTAGAGACTAATGAATTTATTTGAGCATAAATTGGTTAGTCTCTAAGGTGCCACTAGTACTCCTTTTCTTTTTGCAATCTCACACAAATACTTCGCAAAGTAAAATATTCCCCACTTATGGAGAAACGACGGAACTAAGCTGTAGCATTAAGCCGCAGCTCTACAATAAGGGTAGTACAGAGATGCACCAGCCTCATAGAAGTTCCTGGAGACACTCTGGTCTCTGCCAAGTTCCTGATGGCACAGCCACTGCGCTGCTCTTAAATGGCCTGGCTAGCCCAGCTAGCGATTGTGGAGAAGAAGCAGGGCCATGACCCTGACTCCTCCCCACTCCATTTGCAGAGGCTTATACCATGGTGGCACTAACCCTGTGAAGTCCTGATGGCAAAACCTGCCACCACACCAAGCTTCTACACAATGAAGCAGGTTGGGTGTGCAAGAGGAGGAGAACTCTATGTGTGCGCTCTTCATCCCTTGCACACCAGAGCAAGGGCCCAGAATTCTGCCCCTGATTTGCATTTAAATAAGAATAATTCTTTTAGCCACGTGCCTCCAAAAAAGCTGATGAGATACTGCCAAACTTGTCTAACTGTGACAGACGTGGCAATTATTGCGAATCCTGGACAAGCCTCACTGAATTAAATTAAACCCTACCGAAGTAAGTTTAAGTGTCTTAGGAGTTCATTATATTAAAAATGCAAAGGTTTCTCTATTATGGTGGGATTGTATGTAACAGGTTTTCCTGTAGTTGTTCATGAGCATTTGGGGCCACACCAGTACTGTGAGAATACAACCCTCAGAAGACAGACAGACAGCAATTTGAATGAAGGAGGGACACATGACTAATTTAAACCCTATAAGAGCTTCAAATGGCTATTTTAAAATAATGGGCCGGATGAGAAGGAACTTTTGGGATAAACAAAGTTAAGGAGGTTCACTAGGAAATACCTGGGCAGGGGGAATGCAAATTCCGCACCTCCAGACCCAACCTTTGAAACTTCCCCCTCAGGAGGAAACCTGCTCATCACCTTGTACATCAAGATAAGATTAGAGGCCCAACTGTATAAATGAAGGACTCACAGGTCTGAGCCAACGCGGTTACGAACCCTGTAACCACAGAAAAAAACCCTTGGTGGGGTTTGTTCACTGGCCAGAACCCTAGTTGGAGCTGGGGTGATCTCTGATTGGCTTATTAGCAAGCACATAGGTTCTGTTGTTACTTTTAATAAGTTTTCTCCGTAAGGATAAATGCACTTGCTGAGAAAGAGTTTTGCGATTACTTAACTGTGGGCAATGACACTGTTTGCAGCCTCTGAGGAAAGACAAAGCAGGCCTGCTGAGGCAATCTGATTTGCCATTCCCAGTGTAGGCAGGGAACTGTACAGCCTGGGAACTGCTCAGTCAGGAGGGGGAGAGATGTGTGTGTCTCTGCCCAAGAAAAGTGATGGCGGGGGAGCCCGAAGCCTAAGAGTGCGGTCAGCCCTTGCTGGCCCATAAAGGAGGAATACAAGTGCAGTTGCCCCAAACTGTGAAAGTTACTACATTACCCTTATCCCCTATTCCTGGGTAACCAAGCACTAGAGGGGGGCTCCAGGGTTATCCTGTGGTTGTTCATGAGCATTTGGGGCCACACCAGACCCTGAAAATATAACACTTTGGAAAAAAAAACAGAGACAGAAATGTGAATGAAACCCTAGTACACCAAGAATTTGTGCTAGAACAATCTACCCGAGAAGCTACGAAAGCCTAGGGCAAAGGACTCTCAAAGGGGCAACCCCAAAGGGCGCTCTAAATACATCACAACCTTTCCATCAAAGCTACTACGGAACCCCAAGGTACAATCAGTGCAGGACAGGTGCATACGGCACACCTGCTCCCCCACCACCCTCCTGCCTGCCACAGTACAGAACCAGAGACCGAGGCACCCTCTTACCTTGGGCCAAGTGTCCCTGCTGCTCAGCATCTCCGAAGGATCCAGGGGGCACAGCACAAGCCAGCAGCATCTGCCTCCTGCTGGGGGACACCATTTTGGAATGATGGGAGCATAGGCTTGGCCAGTGGTGCAGATTTATAGCCTCACACAGCACCACACGGTGGCAGGAATGCAGTACTACAGCCTCCCATTGCCATGGGCAGGAAGTTTCAAATACAGGCTGATGGGGGTTGAGTTTCTCTATTTCTGCCTTTTTTTCTTGCCATGTATCTTCATGGGTGGATGGTGTTAGTATTCCCTGGCTTGCTGCTAGGCAGTGGGGGCTGAAGCACTCACTCTCTCACACACACACATACAGCTATTAAAACATGTGAAAGTGGAGGAAACTGACGGGCTGTAGCCATAAGGAGGTGGAACCAGGAGCCCACAAAGTGGGTCTCCAGGACCTAAGGAAGGCAGCAGAAGCAGCTAAGCAAAAACTGGGTGTCTCGCAAGGGGTTATTATTACCTGAGCTTGCAAATGGGGGATGGTGCAGTTTAGTCAATCCGCTTTAACTGGTACTTTATTAAAAACATACCTTTAAAATATCAAAAATAGCAATTTGAGCTTTTTTTCAAGCAGCAACCATCTGGTCTGTAGC